GGGGGGGGTGTTATGTATGTTTTGTAATTCCTTCCTTCCGCAAGGAAGTGCAGGTGGAGTATGTGTAGGTTGTACCTGTTAGTAACTAAGTATGCGCCCCTACTGTTGTAGGAGGACTGTTGTAATGTATTTGCATGCAAAAATTGAATAAACAGAATTTAAAAAAAAAAAACAAAAAAACATCCTATTGAAAAATGATGCAACGCTGAGAAAAATAGCAGATTTTACCTGGTTTGGGGTGGTGGAGAAATGACTTTTGCGGTGTGGGGGTGGATCTGTAGATGGTCAGGGTTGGTACTGCTGGTGTTACTGCTGATAGATTGTAGAATTGTAGAAGGGGAGCCTACTACCATCTTGAGGTGTTCATAAAAAATGTTTATTAAAAAAATACACCTTGGGGTCTATTTATAAACAATTCCCAATGCTCTTCACCCAGTGAATGTCTGTGAGTGTTTATTTTGGGGGCAAATAGTGGCAAAATGAATGCTCTTAATATATTTTTTTCCCAGTTTGAATGCTGTGTATTCTGTGTTGTAATAATAGATTATGTCCACTAGATAGCGCTATGGGGCATAGGAAATAAGTATCTATTTCCTCTGCTCTTCAGCTCCATCTAGTGGCTTTAATGTAATATTAATGTAGTGTAACAACACACTACATTCAAACTAGAAATAAAAATATAAGGACAGTTGTTTTGTTGGCATTATTCACCCAAAATTAACGTTTACAGATATTTACAGGAGGAAGGCCCCTGTTATAAATAGACCCCGTTGAGTTTTCAGCCCCAATCAATACAGACATCTCTGGAAGTAAAGTCTCATATAATTTGCATATTCCTTCTTCTTTCTCTCCTAGCTCAAGACTGCATGGCTGGTTCCGGAAACGGAGTCAGTGAGGACCTTATAAGCCTGGAAATTGTATCTCCTAATGTTCCAGATCTGACCCTGATTGATCTCCCGGGAATCACACGGGTTGCCCTGCCCAATCAACCCCCAGACATTGGACAGAAGGTTTGCTACATATATTAGATGCCATGGCTCACATAAGTCAAGCAGAATAATGCAGGTTACAAGGTGATCCAATTCAGGTCAGAATGAGGTCAACTGCAGGTTAAGTGCGCCTATGAATGTACGCAGATGGAACCCTAAAACATCTCAAATTGATCTCAAATGCATTCTAAAGGCACCTGAAAGCAAGCTGCATTTTACTATCAACACAAGCTGTAAAGCTAAACTCCAGACCGATTAATCATTGTACCTATAAATACTAGCCAATGATCACTAGCCATTGAGCTATTAGCTGGGATGGATGCGAATGTCACAACAACTTCCATTAAGTCCCAATATTCCAAAGTTCATACAGTTTTAAAACCCTGATGATGTCGCAGCCCCCCCCCCCCTTCCCAAAATGCATTGGCTGTTTATATCATCTGTGGACTCTACTACCGTTGGTGCGGTGTTCACCCTATAGCGAGTAGAATATATAGAGACACCGGCACTCCAATAGTAAATCAAATACGTCTGTTTATTGACATATGAGCAGCATAGTGTGATATACTCAATGCACCCTATAGTCTCAAGCCTTGACTTTATCCAAGGTGCCGAATTTGGAGTTCCCTGGCCTTTAAGAGCAGCCCAATCAGAGCCATTTAACTCCATGAACCGGACTTGATTTTGATAATACAAGACTGCAATAGTATCTGATCCAGTCCCTCGTATCCTTGTTTCTCAAATGTATTAGTCCTTAGGCAGGGTTGCTTTAATGTTAATGGTCATGAGAGAAAAAAGTGGCTGCCATTATTAACATCTCCTTCTTAAAATGCTAGTTGCCTGGCCATCACGCAGGTTCTTTCACTTCAATACTAGAGTGACAGACCCAAAGCCAGTAGGCAGATAAGGATTTTAGACTTTTTACCAACTCTATGGATCTGCATGCAGGGCCGAAATTCCCACAAGGCCAAGCAAGGCCCAGCCTTGGGGCAGCAGGGAGTAAAGGGGCAGCAGGAGTGTGGAATTCCTATCTCCCGACGCCTGGGACATGCAGTTCCGGGTGCCAAGCGGGTAGTTATTTTCCATATTTAGCCCTGCTTTGGGCATGCAGATCATGGAAGCCATAAGATCAGTAAAACCGCATTTTCAGAAGAAAGTTAGTGTTGGAAGACCTTTTATATCCATCAGGACATGCTAACTTTAGGTTTTAGAGATGCCCTCAATTTCTTTTAATTTCACCCACACAACCCATTTGAAGTTGATCACATTTTCATTATAGCAAATTTCTAACTGCAAAATGTCGTGTTTTCATAGATCAAGGGGATGATCAGCAAGTACATTAAGAGGCAGGAGACCATAAACCTGGTTGTGGTTCCCAGTAATGTGGACATTGCAACAACCGAAGCTCTGGAAATGGCCAGAAATGTGGACCCCACTGGACAGCGGACATTAGGTACATAGGATCTGTTACTGCAAATTCATTTACTTTGATGCAAAATCAACTGATGTGAAGATTTATGAAGACAAGAGCAGCTCGCCCCTAGTTGGAAGCAGCCTTTGACCTGCCTGTGCTGCCTGTGACCGGCAGTGTTTGTAGACTGCCCTTAGGGGTTAGGATCAGCAGTTGACCTGCTTAAGAACAATGAATACAAAACTCTCACTGCTCCAATTCTGTGGTTGGATTGCCATGGTGGAGATCCTTCAGGTGCCAGCTGAAAGATGCATCTTCACCTGCAATTACTCCAGTTCAAAAATAGCCACCCTCCACGGGTCTTCCATAACATATCCAAGCTTTAGTGTAATCTACAAACCGATATACACCACATAATGCTCCCCATTATGAGATAATCCCCTATGAGGCTATTTTGGAACTGGAGTGACCTGCTTATGACCTGCAGTTGCTTGTTGCCCCTTTATTTACTTTCTATCTTCCTTGGCACCATCTAGTGGCCATATTGCGATATTACATGAAAAAACATTCTAAAATACATTCCCTCGTAAAGAAAAAACAAAACAATGTTAATTTTGGCATCTATCTGCACAGAACAAATGATCGCAGACATTCCCAGGGTGAAAGACACTGCGAATAGTTAATAAATAGACCACTTAGTATTTTATGTTCATGAGTATGAAGATGGATTCAATTTAAAGTGTTAGGGCAGCTAAAACTGATATGCCAGTTTTGGTGGATGATATTTTGGTGGCTAAAGTTACTGACACGTGGCAGCAGGGAAAAATATATATATATTTTTTTTTTATCGTGAATAGTAGGTAAGGAGGGATGGATGGGGGGATTTGTTTTAGCATGTATGTAAATGTAAACTTGCAGAAATCAGTCTAGTGAATATTCTTCCTTTACTGCACCCAGGCAGAGAATACACTGCCTGCGGCCTGCCTCTGGATACCTTTGATGATGCTGAACATTTCCTGTAACTTCTCTCCCAGGAATCTTGACCAAGCCTGACCTGGTGGACAAAGGAGCAGAAGAGGATGTTGTTAACATAGTGAGAAACCTGGTCTACACACTCCGGAAAGGCTTCATGATTGTCAAGTGTCGTGGGCAGATAGAGATCCAGAATAACATTTGCTTGGATGATGCTATAAGGAACGAGAAAGCTTTCTTCGAAAACCATGAGCATTTCAGGTATAAGGGCAATAATCTTGGTCTTTATTAGGGATGCAAAAGTACCGATACTAGTATCGGTGCCGATACCGAGTATTTGGATGAGTACTCGTACTCGTCCAAATGCTCCAATACTTACCTCAGATACCGGAACTTCCGGTCAGAGGAGGAGATCTCCCTCTAACAGGCAGTGCCAAGGGAGCATAGAGCTGGCTTCCTTTCCTCCTCCCGGTTTGTTGATTGGCTAGGAAGCAGGCTTAATGTGTTGCTAAGCAGCCTGGCTTCCCAACCAATCAGAAAGCCAGGCGGCATGTAATGAGCCACCTCCTGGCTTCCTGATTGGTCAGGAAGCCAGGCTGCCTAGGAACAAGTGAAGTCGGCTTCTTAGCCTATCAGGAAGCCAGGAGGCGGGTCCTGACGTGCCACCCTGTTTGCTGGTTGGCTAGGAAGCCAGCTTCACTTGTCAGGAAGCCGGAGAGCACCTCATGACTCGCCGCCCCCGGCTTCCTGATTGGTCAGGAAGCCAGGCAGCCTCTGAAGCTGGTGTTCTTTCGCTAGAACACCAGCTTCACAGGCAATCAGGAAGCTGGGCAATGGGTTAAGATCCGTCTCCCAACTTTCTGATAATCGGGGCACAATGCACCGGTACGAGGTAGTCAGTATCGGCGAGTACTGGGGGGAAAAAATTTGGTACTTGTACTTGATACTAAAATAACGGTATCGGTGCATCCCTAGTCTTTATCATTTATGGTTATGACTGTCTTCCTAATAACAGAGTATATTTGCTTTTCTGCCCTGCTGTATTTAATAGCGGATTGCTAAGAGGAACAGTGTGCATGTTGGTGTATATTAGCAGATGGGACGCATAACTAGTTGGTTTGCATGCAAATTGAAGCTGTGTTGGTGGTACCTGCCCTTCCTGTAACACCTGCGTTAGAGCTTACCTCTATTACTGTATGCTGAAGACAACACAATGTGGGCTAGCAATTCACAATTATAATTGTTCAATGCAGTTATCATTACTGAGCTTCTATTCAATACGCTATGTGTTTGTCTTGTCTCCCTGATGTAAAGGGAGTGTTGTCCATGAACATTGTTGGCTGTTTTTTTTTCGATTGAATTGAGAAAATTTAAAAGGCACTTTTGGACTCTTTCACCTTTTGGTTTGGTGCCTCTTATTGCTGGACATTGAGGTTTCAGACAAAGTGAGCCAGTAGGCAGAGTTCTGTCGCCTTAGCTGACACACGGTGCTGTGGGAATCCTGTGTTGTGTATCAAATGTATTCTAATAAATAAAAAGGATTGGCGGCGATGGTAGAAAGAGCTGTCCATGGTGCTGATTGTAAATCAGACAACCAGAGAACTCATTTGATTCAGGCCATATATGAAGCTGCACTACTGACGGTACTAGATCTTCAAATAATAGTTGGTTTCCCGAAGTGATAGAGTTGAATGGCGCCGCTACAAAACCAGATAAAGGCACACACAGCCACCAGCACTCCAGGCATAGAATTGCATCTCAAATGTATTGAGAAAAACAGCTTCACAGGTGACGTTACTCTATGTTGCCTTGAGAAGGGGACCGTACGAGGCCCCTGAAATGCCTGACTCTGCAGACAGTTGGCGACTTTTGCGCACTGTGCGCTTCAGTATGCGCTGACCTTGTTCTTTCACTTTACGTGGGCTACCACTTCCTGGCTGAGTTACTATTGTTCCCAGTTGCTTCCACTTTGTTATCATACCGCTAACAGGTGACCGCAGAATATTTAGTAGCGAGGAAATGCCACGGATGGACTTATTGCACAGGTGGCAACCTATCACGGTACCAGGCTTGTAGTCACTGAGCTCCTGAGAGCGACCCATTCTTTCATCAATGTTTGTATAAAGCTGGCCATACACCTTACAACCATCGCAAGACTTTCATTGTGCGATGGTTGTAAGGTAATTAAAAGCTTGTACGATCTGCCCATCTTGGACAGGCAGATCGTACTTGCGATCATCGCAAGCCCTCCCCGCTGAGGGGCGGGCTTCCGATGATTCCAATGCTGAGCGGGCAGTGTGCGCTTGCGCACACCGGCCCATGCGGCATTTGTCTCCTGAGAACGCCACTAACCTGCCACAAATCGTACAATTCCCGGCGGGATTTCAAGCGTGCTCGGGAGACAAAAGACGTACGACCGTACAGTAGAAACGGTCGCACACCTTCCATACACCTGCCGACTATCGTACGATCGCGGGATCACCCGCGATTATCATACGATAATCGGCAGGTGTATGGGCACCTTAAGAGTCTGCATGCCGAGGTGCGTGATTTTATACACCTTTGGCCATGGAGGAGATTGGAACACCTGAATCCAATGATTTGGAGGGGTGTCCCAATACGTTTGGCAATATAGTGTATGTCTGTGATGCTGTTCTTCACAATTACATGTCTGAAATGCTGGTGACTTCATATCCCTTGAGTCAGAGAGCTCCTTCATACACATCCCAATAATAGAGCTCATGAGAAAAAAGACTACAATTTACTCTTGGATGGAATGACATTACAAAACTCCACAGCGGAATTCATTATATTGTTTTATTTTATTTTTTCAGCGCCCTGTTGGATGACGGCTTTGCTACAGTCCCGGCACTTGCAGAAAAACTGACCGTTGAACTTGTTGATCATATCAGTGTAAGTTACTTACAAAGAATAGAATATTAGCCACGGCTGTATCAGTTAATACAGCCATTTATTATTTACTATACATTATTTCTTTATTATGTTCAATACTAAAAAAAAGCTTTTACGTTTTTTCCAGTTGGTTAATTATAGTAATATTGCCTATAAATAGTTCATTTTTATTTTCAGCCAGCAGGTAGAGCTCCAGGCTCCAATGTTTCCCATATTTTTTTAATAAATGTCTGTTTAACCCTTTCGCTGCCAAGGCATTATTTTTTTTTGCACACATGTTGTAATTCACATTTTAATCCTGCAAATTACCTAAAACCTCCAAGAATTATATATTTCCTGAAAGCACAGACCCCGTAGAATAAAAAGGAAGGAGAAAATTACACTGGTTAATTTTAGCACCCAAAAACACAATATAATACCCTTTTTTTTGTCAAATAAAAAAGATTACATTATTTTGAATAAATAAATACTCAACATGCCAAGCTTAACAATTGCATGCGCCTGTGAAACGGTGACAAAATTTGGCACACCAAATTGCCCATAGGCAATGCTTTAAAAGCCCGTACAGGTCATCAGTTTAGAGTTACCTGTGAATATTGGCCCCACAATTATTGCCTCTGCAGATCGTTCTTGAATAATTTTTTCCATGCTTTCTCTAGACAGGAATGACAGCTAAGAAGTCGGAAGTGAAGTGTCTCTTCCAGCTCCATTCAGCGGGGAGGAGATCGGTGAACAGATGTAAGCCGGTCTCTCTCCCCTCTACCTGCTGATAGTGGAATCGATTCTGGCAGCTCAGCCGCCAGAATCACTTCCAGTATAAAGCCGACCGTTGGATTTGCGCAGCTGAACAGAGTCCGGCAGACCGGTGGCTATCTGTTTAGATGGGCCCGCTGCCAGCGACCTATGGTATAAGTCATTGGCAGCGTAGTATTAAAGGCTGGTCATTTTTTACCTTACTTCCTGAGCATCAGAAAGTAATAGGAAAGTTTGCAGTTGTGACTTAAAGTAGTATTAAAGGCCGGTTGTTTTTTACCTTAATGTATTCTCTTCATTAAAGTAAAAAACAACTAGTACCTTTTGGTGTCTCCCCCCTCCCAAACTTACCTGTGTCATCGCTGTCACCGCCGCCAGTCTCTGAAGCTATCCTCCCCTCCCCAAACTTCCTGGTTGCAGGGGAAGGATACTGGGGGCAGAGGAGTCATAGGCTCCTTCTGCCGTCAATCACCCTTTAGGGAGGTGAGGAGGGGCGTGGCCTGTCTATGGGCGCACACAGCTACTGCGGCACAAGCACACGGGGTGCCTCCACAGCAGCTGCTTAGCTGAGGGTGGCACCCATGCAGGGGGCAGGGGGATGAGCACTGCGGGGACCCACTAGAAATCGAGAAACTGAAATTATTTTCAAGAAAAAGAACAGAAGATTTATAAAAATGGGTGACTCCCTTTCCCTGCCTGCTCTTTTTAGATACATCATACAGAATTTCAATCAGGGAGAGAAAGAGTCTGAAGGCAAGCAGCTACTTCTGTTCTCTCAGTGCTGTGTGGCACTACTGCCATAGGTGGACCAATTATTATTTAAAAATTTTTTAAAGTGTTAAGCAGTATAAGTAACTGAATTGGACTTGTTATCAACTTCCTGCAGTCCATAGTGGAGCCCAATCTGGCAGAGGATCAATCAGCACAAAACCCCAATTAGCGCTGTAGTATAAGAAGTGTGTTAATAGGAGGAGAGAGCAGAGTGACAGAGAGATACGCTCATCAGTCTGCTGCTCCTCCTTTAACTGTCCAGGCATTGAATTTGCCTCCTGCATTGCCACACAGAACTGTGCTGTGCCGCAGAGCTGATTAAATATAAGGACTGGACGGACACAAATACAAATCCTTTGGTGGGTAAAATAGCTTCCTTATGTATTTTTCATCTGTCTTTTGGTCTAAACACACTTTTCTGTTTTGTATTCGATTTTCATTTTTTTTTCTTCTTTTCAGAAAAGTTTACCTCTTTTGGAGCAGCAAATCAAAACAAAACGCAAGGAGGCAGAAGAGAGGCTGAGAATGATCGGCACTGGGGTCCCAGAGTCTGAAATGGATAAAGTTGCCTACCTCATTGATGTAAGTACAGATCCACAGGTCTGTAAAAATCCACCACCAGGTACCTGCTCAGGTATATCCACAGATATCTAGAGTGGTATATCTATGGTCAATTATTGAAGACCTTCACCCTTACTTTTCATAACCAACCTACTGTTGACTTGTGTATGTTTGTGTGTGTGTGTGTGTGTGTGTGTGTGTGTGTGTATATGTGTGTGTGTGTGAGGAGCGTGTGTGAATTTGGATTCACTTTGTCAGGGGCTTATATATAAACTTCTGTAGGGAAATCTAACATGTATGGGCTTGCATGGAGCTTCATTGTGGGATGTGACCCTGTCAAGGACTCTATCAACACGGGTGTGTTGGCATTCCCAAGAAAGACACAAAATGGTCCAAATAAGGTGACAGGTTTTTTTTAAGACTTTGCTGATGAGGACCAGAAGTTATGGCAGGACAGAATTTGACAAGACAATGCTGTGATGATGTCATGATGATGAACAGTTTGGTGAAGGCCTTTTTCTGTCCCACCATGACTTGTGGCCTCTTCTTCTGTATGCAATTAAACTACTAGCATTCCCGCCCTTGTGTATTTGCGAGTTATTTCCCACTCGTATGCCGACATGGAGCAGTCAGGGAAACAGGAAAATTGTATTTCATACTTACCGCAATTTTCCTTTCCTGACGGCTCCATGTCGGCATAGTTCCCGCCCAGTCGGAGTTGCTAGTTATGTAACACATTGGCTGGGGGGAGGCTCAAATTTATGAGCTATTAGTCCTATCAGATGGGGGGGGGCGGAGCCTGTACCCACTCGTATGCCGACATGGAGCCGTCAGGAAAGGAAAATTGCGGTAAGTATGAAATACAATTTTCCTGTATCACTTTGCCCCTGTATACAAAGCCAGTTCCATAAAGACATGGTGTGATGAGTTTGGTGTATTGCACACTACAGGAATGAATTGGAATGCCAATTGCAAGCCAGGTTTCTTCTTCATCAATGGGCACCAATTCCCACAGTCATACTCCCCCCAAAAAAAATTCCTAGGAGATCCGAGGCCGTTTTTGACCGTTTTTATAGTCAAAAAGAGTGTCCAACTTCATATTGATGTCCATGGCTTTGCAATGGGATGTCCAACAAACTCATATAGGGGTGATGGACAGGTATCTACAAACTTGTTTGAATGGGCACCAATACACACAGACATGCTCCAAAAAACCTTCCCAGAAGATGTGAGGTTTTTTATAGTCAAAAGGAGGGGCCAACTCCATCTTGATGTCTTTGGCTTTGGAAGTCCAACAAGCTCATATAATGTGAGGGACAGGTATCTACAAACTGGTCTGAATGGGAACCAATTCCCACAGCCATGCTCCCAAAAAACTTCCCAGAAGATGTGAGGTTTTCATAGTCAAAAGGAGGGGCCAACTCCATATTGATGTTAATGGATGTCCCATAAGCTGATATAGGTGTGATGGTCAGGTATCTACAAACTTTTGGTCATATAGTGTAGACATTAGAACTAGGGTTAAAAGGAAAAGGTTTTTTTCTTTGTGAGAGACACAGGTGGCCCCAGTTTAAACTTCACACAAGGGCCCTGTGACTTGTTAGCTCCACCCCTGCTCTTCTGTATATATTAGAAAATCCCCAACATCACTGTTATTTGATATGTGTCTCCTTGTTCTTTTTATGTCAGAAAATTAAATATTTTGAAGAGGAACTTGAACAAGCCATTAATGGAGAAGAAAATGTCGACAAAGGAAATCTGAAGCTTTTCACCAGCATGCGGAAACACTTTAATACCTGGGAAAGAACTCTAAAAGATTCATCTGACAGATGTAAGCACACCAAAACTGCTGCGCAATAAAATAAATCTACCTTGTTCATTTCAAGGAACGCTTACAGGGTTATTCACAAAGTTGCCGAAGGCAGCCGAGTGAAAAACTAAGCCAAAGTGAACATCGACAGAAATCGGCATGTTCGGCTGAGCCGAAGTGCAGTAGGAGTTCGACTCAGTCGATTCAACATCTGGGAGCCGAACGGCAATGAGTGAATAGCCGAATGCCGCTGAGCGGCATTTGGCTCGGCTATTCTGCTCAGTACCTCTGTGGTACCGAGCACAATAGCAAATAAGTGAAAAGAGTGAAAATAATAATTAAAAAAAGGTTAAGAAATTATTTGAAAAATCATCCAAAATAGAAAAATTAAAAATAAAAGAAAAATATTTTAAATAAAAGAAAAAAAAGAAAAACAATTGGGTGGAGCTGGCAGTGACAGCTAGCTCGGCCCAACTGTTTGCTATTGGCCGGCACCTGCTAGAGTCTTCTTGTGAAGTCACGACCGGCTCCGCCCAGTTGTTATTGTTTAATGACAGATTTGGGGACTCTGATCTGTCATTACAATTGGGCGGCGCGAGCCGTGAGATCACGGCTGGCTCCGCCCAGCTGTCATTTGCGGGGGCGAACGGCCGGCCTTTGGTAGACCGTTCTCCCCACTTGGGCTGTCACTCAGGCTCAGTGGAGCTGAAGCATATGCCTTTGGCTCGGCTGAGCCGCTCGGCCACCTTTGGCTGCTGTACAGGCTATTGTGAATAGCCCGTACAGCAGCCCTTTGGTTCGACTGAACCGAAGGACTCTGGTGGCCGAAGAGAGCCGAAGCTACGGCTGTATCCTTCGGCTCAATAGTGAATAACCCCTTATTGTTTACCTTGTTCATAAATAACAGATTTCAGTGTCGGATAGTACAGTCAGCATTCTGGCAGGACACCTGCAGCAAGACTCTCATTTGGACCCACCTAGGAGTACACACCCGAAAGGAAATTTCCTGCTTGTGTGATTGTCTTACTGGTTTTCTCAGAAGTCGGCAAGATACAGACAGAGTCAAATTTTAGGAATCTCCAGCATCAGGCATTTTATTTTTGTGAGATGCTCCCAAAGGTTGTCTAAAGGGAAACAGACACTGCAGCTTTCCTGATTAGAACACTGAGATTTGCTCTGGTAGTTATAATGCAGGCTGACTTTTCCATTCGGGGCTCAGTCTGCAGGTTACATAGGGAAACAAACAGCTATTTCTTTAAAACAAAAAGGTAAGAGTCTGGAAATGTGTTTTCTAAACTCTTTTCAATGTAGATAGATCACCTAGAGGGGATTGCATTCTTTTCAACAAAACGGAAGTTACACTTTAAGCCCTACTCTCTCCCAGTGCTAAGCCTTGCTCATGTCATGCAATTATGTGTTCGCTCACTTCCCGATCTACTGAGCCGACCTGTGACAGTTCCATTGTCACAGGTCGGCTAGAACTATGAGGATGAGTGGAAAGAACTCACCTCATAGTTCTCCTTTAAATGCCAGCACTGCGTAGTAGAGGCTCTGGTATTCGACAGAAGCAAAGCTTTGTATCAGGAGTGGGCAGGATTTAATATCGACCTGTAGAAAAGTCCCTATGTTCAGCCTGGGTCTCGGATTATAGGGGCTCCACAGGGGTAAAGGGGTTGATGTTAAGGGGTAACACAGGTATTTTGGGGCACCACAAAGTACCTTCACCTTAGCACTGTGGATACCTTACTAACATTTTACTCCACATCATGTTCAGATGAATGTAAAATCTTTTGACTGTAACTCATTTTCAGATGCTGAGGACCTAAGAGATGACGTAAAGATCTATGAGGATCAACACCGAGGCCGAGAGCTGACAGGCTTTGTAAGTTTCAGAACGTTTGAAAATGTCGCCAGGAAGCAAATCCAGACGTTCGAAGAGCCGGCGATTGTGAAGCTGAATGAAATAGCCGGTAAGAACGCAGTCCTGTCATCTCACAATCGATGTGTCTCTTTTACCTTTCTCAAACCCCATTCCCTCAAAGGGCCATGCCCCACTAGTGACCCTGTAAATGGTGAGTGGTCGTTATACTGGGAAAACAGGGTAAGAGAAATACACTCCTGTTTCCATGTGTTGGTCCCTTGCTGCTGGATGAGCGAGATGTCATTCCCTTATTGGCAACTTACATTCTTACAGCATTACCGTCTGCAAGGGAGCAATGCCTCACTCCTCCTGGTCCTCCAGCCAGCAAGGGGCTGACACATGGATCTAGGTGAGTATTTTCTCTGCAGTTTTTAGTAAGGATGCACCGATACCGGTATTTCGGTATCGAGTACGAGTACCGATATTTTTTTTTGGTACTCGCCGATACCGAGTACCGGAAGTCACATTCAGGAAGCCAGGCTGCATGTAATGACTCACCACCCGGCTTCCCGATTAGCCGGGAAGCCGGGCAGCGTGTAAAGACTTGCCACCCGGCTTCTTGTCACTAGGTGACGAGAAAGCATGGAGACGATTTTCTGGCCAATCAGGAAGCTGGGCGCTGTGTAATGACGTTGCGCCTGGCTTCCTGATTGGCCGGTAGGCAGGCTCCATGCTCCCTCATCATGAGGTGACGAGGGAGCATGAAGGCGGCTTCCTGACCAATCCGTAAACCGGGCACCACGTCATTACACGCTGCCTGGCTTCCTGATTGGCCGGGAAGCTGGCTCCATGCTCTCTCGTCACTTCATGGAGCTGGCTTCCGGGCAATCAGGAAGCCGGGCAGCGTGTCATGACGTGCTGCCCGGCTTCCTGATACCAGAAGTATCCGGCTAGGCATCGGAGCATTTGGGTGACTACGAGTACTCGCCCAAATACTCGGCATCGGAACCGATACTAGTATCAGTGCATCCCTAGTCTTTAGCAATCTTGTTGTTGTATTGTAAGCACATGGCGTTTGAATATCTTCAGCCAGGGAATCACAGCTGCCAGTGGCAAGATTCCGTAGAGGGAAACTGAATGTAACTACAGCAAGTAGTGGGCGGGTGCAATAACCAGCCTGCTATTGGCCATTTCAAATTGCAGTAGCCAGCGTGGAGGAGAGAGCTAGTGGATCCAACCAATTAACCGATAATGAGAATAGATGACAACTATTCTCATTATCGATTATTAACGATTAATCGATTAGTTGGTTGCAGCCCTACTAAAGTTACAGTTTTTGGAATTTTATGTTCTCTTTCTTTTCCTCAGAGCTGGTACGGACATGTTTCGATAACATCGCTGCAAAGCATTTTCTGCAGTTTCCAAATCTTTACAGAAGTGCAAAGGTAGGACCGATTGTTCGGTGTTTTTTTGCTAAATAATATTTAATTTTGCTAAATAATATTTAATCTTCACCTTATACACCTTTTCCAAATCTTCAGTCCAGTCATGTGATACCGCAGGGTTCTCTTCATCTTCGCCTCTTATCTGGACTCACTGATACATAGTGCAATGGAAATGAAGGGCACCATGGTCTCAACACCCTGCGCTCACCCTGATACATAATGCACTATGAACGAAGGGCACCATGGCCATAATACGCTGCACTCACAGTATGTGCTCAGTCTTCCAGTGCTGCCATACTGTCATTCAACCCCCAAGGCTGAGGGCATCTTGTGGTGAAGAAGAGGTACTGCAGGGCACAGATTCTGACTAGTGATGGGCTCGGGCGTGTTCGCAGCTCCACGTGCCGGGCCCGATCTCTGCAGCTGCGGACCGGGAACATGTCTCAGCACCTGTGATTGGCGCTGCGCGCTGTCAGCTTCCTGGCTGGCTGGGCACGTGCATCCTGCAAAAAAAGGAGTGCACTACAGCAAGACCAGGATGCAAAACTCTTCCTCCGAGCAGTTAGACTGTGGCCCCACTATGCATCTCAAAGCTTAAAGTAGCATTAAACTCTCATCCATTTTTTTTTTAAATCCATGAATCCAGATCAAACAAATATACAGTAGATTGCCCAGCATAGAATTGTTTTTGCCCATGCACTTGCAGCCATCATGTTTCAGAACAGCTGACTCAAACTCTCTCAGTTCTGCTTCCCTGAACTTGCTGTCCAGTTCAAGCTCACAAGGGGGAGCACAGTTTCCAGCAGCCATCTATCTACTAGCTTGGAGGAGGAAGGAGCAGCAGAGAGAAGGGGAATGTCTTGACCTGCCGTGTCTGTGTGTTTGTGGAGACTCACACAGCTTTCTATCACACACAAGGGTGGCTCCAGGACCCTGCAAGGGAATAGAGCCAACGTTAAACAGGATATCAGGGTCAGTGCTCAGGGGACCAGCTGATTCTGTAGGAAACTAAAACTTTTAAACATCAAGGAGCAGCATCCATTGTAAGTGATTTCATCAGCATGTGACATATCACAAAAACCTTTTAACTTCATATCACTTTAAAGTGTAACTGCTCTTATCCTCTTCTATCCCCACTGCACTGAGGTCTCCATGCTGAGCCTTCTCGACTCAAATCTTCTCAGTTAGGTCGAGCTCTTACTGTCCATGCCAGTGACGTGTGGTACCTCTGGTTCCGGGTGAGGCACTCCCCAGCACGTACCCCCCGGCCAAAGCCCAGCCCCCAACCCAGTCTCCAAGCTAGTGTGAAGGAGGAGCCTCCCCGTCCCTCACTTGCTCGTCACAGCTGAGGCATCGAGATCGATGGCCTCAGTGGGGTTTTTTTTTGGATTCGACAGCTTGGACCAATGGCGCTTTGCCATTGGTCCAAGTTGCCATTTTCCTACATAATACTAGGTGAGGCTCTGCCTCCCCTGCCTCCCCTGACCACACGTCCCTGGTCCATGCACACTACTATCTCCATTTGATCCTATGGATAGCTTGTACCTGCAGAGAAGAGGCTGTGCAGTGTAAAGGGGGCCACACAATAAGGATCTTCGTAGAGCAGGGACAGGTTATCAGTCACTTAAATATCTAAAAATGTGAGTAGTCCTCTTGATGTGAAGATGTCAAAGTGGTTCACCATCCAAATCTACAGGCTCATGGCATGCTAAAGAGAATCACTTCTCTGACACCCTAGTTCTAAATATTGAGCTTTCCTCTCTGTTTTTTTCCCTAAGGGGAAACTGGAAAATATTTGTGGCGACCAACAAAAAGAGGCTGAGAAGACAATTCAGAACCAGTTCAGGATGGAGGACATCATCTATTGTCAGGACTCGATATACGGGCGATACCTGAAGGCCGCACGCGAGGATGCTACTAAATTTTGCTTTCAGAAGAGGTCATCAAGTGACATGTACTTGTCCATCGTTGAAATGAGTTATCATCTCCAAGCCTATTTCAAGGTGAGCGCTCTGGGTATGCTAAGAAGGCAAGGCTGGAATTGTCTATTGATTGGTAGGACCAGACTTCTATATAGCAAGTGGGACTGGAGGGGTGTGGGCAATATGGATGTGTATTGTGAACAAGTGCAAAGCAAACGACTGAGCAAGCAAGGTGAGATACAAAAAAGAAAAATCAATACACAACAACCTAGTGCAAAGAAACACACAAGCCAGCAGTCGATACAACTATATACAAATTAGCAGGGCTGTAACGTATCACTGAGGGGAAGAATCATTTCCTGATAGGATCACAGATGCAGAGTCTAGAGCCAGGTTATTCAGGTAGAGTGTGGTGAATACAATGCGTCTTCCTATAAACGCAGCGGGATCACTTCAGTATTGCCCACTTAGCACTGTTATGATTTGGGAGTGTAAGAGTTAAGTCCCTGCAGTCTATAACCATAGAATCCTTAAAGGAGAACTATGAGGTGAGTGATTTTCACTCACCTCATAGTTCTAGCCGACCTGTGACAATGAGACTGTCACAGGTCGGCTCAGTAGATCGGGAGGTGAGCGAACACATACCGGCGTTCGCTCACCTCTCGATCTTGTCACTGCAGAGAGCCGTGACAGGGGAGGGACTGGATTCCCCCCTCCCCGCTCCGATCCTCCAGCGCTGACTGGCGGAACAGACGGGGGAGGGGGCGGGCACAGCTGGCTCTGCCTCCAGATAGGCAGAGCCAGCTGTCACTCACGCAGCTGGGCGGATCCAGACATAATTGTCGGGATCCGTTTCAGCTGCGGCGTCTCAGTAAACAGAGCTTAGGGCAGTGGTGGCGAACCTTGGCACTCCAGCTGTGCCAAAACTACAAATCCCAACATGCATCTGCCTCTGGGAGTTATGTCTGTGGCTGTCAGAGCCTTGCAATGCCTCATGGGATTTGTAGTTCCAAAACAGCTGGAGTGCCAAGGTTCGCCACCACTGGCTTAGGGTGATGGGAAGATGCTAGCTTGTGTCCTCCCGTTACCCTTAGGAGAACTATGGGGAAAAGCCCTAACCCCATAGTTCTCCTTTAACACACAGGATAATGGGATAGCCTTCCTTCATAGAATCCCTAATTGATTAGAGAGTGTTATCCAGTGTTTCCTCACACTAGGACAAGCAGACTGGTTGTAGTCTAGCAGGCCATACAATCCAATAAGCGATTAGAGTGGGCAATTCAATATGATTATTATTATTATTGTACAGGATTTATATAGCGCCAACAGTTTGCGCAGCGCTTCACAATATAAGGAAGACATTAAAATCACAATACAATTCAAGACAAGATGGTAAGGAGGGCCCTGCCCCTGAGGGCTTACAATCTAAAAGGGAGGGGCCAGTGATACACGAGGAGGTGGCTGTGTGGGGATGAATTCTTTAAGAAATTGATATTTCAGGGGTTGGTTGCAGTGGGATAGGCTTCCCTGAAGAGAGGAGTCTTAAGGGATCGCCTAAAGGCAGTCAGTGTGGGAGATAGACGAACCGGTTGGGGTAGAGAGTTCCAGAGGATTTGAGAGACTCTAGTGAAGTCTTGGAGGCGAGCAGGGGAGGAGTTGACGAGGGAGCTGGAAAGCAGGAGGTCTTTTGATGAGCGGAGAGGACGGTTAGGGTGATATTTTGAGACAATGCATATATATGACCGGCATCACAGGTCAAGAACATTAAGTCCATCAAATGAATGGCAAAGCAGACAGGTAGAGAGGGTATACTTGCAGTTAGTAGCTCAGGGAACAGTCCTCACTGTGGAAGTAGCTTTTCCCACACCAATGTCTCCTTTAGGAGAGACCCCCTTGCACAGCAGCTGCCGGTGGATAGGGAGGAGTATGTCAGCAATCACTGACATGCTAAGGAGTTCAACAGAGAAGATCCTTTGTGAGCAGGAATTGCTCAGTGTTGTGTTGCAGACAACAGAACGCCGAGCAATTCAAACACCGCGGTTAAATGTGGGTAAGCCCGAAGAGGTCGGAGCGTCATGCCTGGCCGGGATTGGACGGCGGCGGACGTTCGCTACGGTCCGCCTCCAAGAGAGTCTGTTACAAGGGCAATACCAGAAGAGAGGGTCAAGCAGGGTCAGTGCCTCAGATTGTGACATCCATAGGAAGAACTTTAGTCCAGGAAGTAGATGCTGGCCTCGGGTGACGCCTATACAAAGATGGTGTCACCTTGATCTCTTTTTGTTTATCATTTTTTGTAACCTCTTTTCTCTCCTAGAACGCAATAGTCCGCCTGGGTAGCCAGGTCCCTCTCATCATCCAGCATTATGTCCTCCGTGGGTCTGCCAAGCAACTCCACACACAGATGATGCTCCTGCTTCAAGATAAACAGAATTTGGATCTGATGCTGCGGGAGAAGCAGGACCTCTCCACGGAGAGGGACAGCTTAAAGGGTCGGATCAGCCGACTGCAAAAAGCCCAGCAACGCCTGCAAAGGTTTCCCAGCTAAACTCTGGAAGTTCTTTCACCGAACCTGTTATCCAACCGTAACTTTTCTAGTTTAATGCCTTTTTTCAGGAAGGACCACTTTATTACCTTTTGGTGTATTCTCTCACCCGTCTTAGAACCCCTTAAGGCAACAGTGCACCAGTTTTTGCCTGTAAGGTTGCCACCTAGCAGGTTTTTACTCGCTTGGCCAATAAAAATAGATGTGTTCCCAGTGTTATTGAATGGAAATCGATAGAAATTCCATTATTGATAATAAGTATCTTGTATAAATGTGTAATATACCGGAAAATGCAATCCTGCACTCAACACAAGAAACCTGTTTTATTGATCCACCAAGTGCTAAAACATTCCAACTGCCACGGGGGAACTGTTCCCCGACCCTAATAAATATTTTGTGTTGCAGAGCCTTGTTTTTTGAGAAGGCATGACCTGCTTACTTTTTGACTTTTAGGTTTGCTTTAAAGCTAAATTCTAGGCGCACCTAATATAT